GTCCCTTCCGACCCTAGAAACTGTGAAACTATGAAACACCCAGACAGCAATAGAAAAAGTTGAGATTGTTTACCTAAGGAGAAGAAATGGAGATTTGATAAAAATATATAAAACAACTAATAGCTTAGAGAATGTAAGTCAGAAACTTTGGCTCTTCTTGTCCTGTAACACAAGACTGAGAGGGTGTTCACAGAAATTTAAAGGTGATATATTCAGAATGAAACACTTTTTCTACATAGCATGTAATTAAATTGTGGAATTCATTACTACAGGTTGTCATTGAGATCAAGACCCTAAGAAGAACTTTAAAAAAGGTATTGAGCATTTCTTACAGTTACCAAAAAATGTCCGGGGTTGTCATAACTAATGATGATAAAAATATTGGAAGGGATATTACATTGTACTTCAGGGCTTAAATCAGTCTCTTATATTGTTAGAAATTAAGATAATACCTAATACTGGGGCAATACTGCAACTAGGAGGTCACTGCAGTCTCTTGAATAGAGCACTGGGACTGAGACTCATCATGATGCCTGGGTTTCTATACCAGCTCTGCTGTCAATACATCATTTTGACTTGGAGCAAATCCTGTCCCTCCGTGTGCCTCAGTGCCCCTCTCTGGCAGCAAGAATGATGAAACTGTGGTAAGCATTGCAAATTACACTACCATAGGGAACTTGTGTTCTCTGAACTGTTGGGTTCTGGCCAACCGTCAGAGACAGGCTGTCAGATTAGATGGCCATTGAATTGGATCAGCAGTAAGTATTCCTATCACCATCAAACCCACATGGTGAACTTCAGCAGAGTTCATTTGTTTTTTAAACAAACACCCTCTAAATATGCTCCTTCTTATTAACATCTCCCTCTGTTGTAATGAGGCAGGGCCTGGCTTTGGCTTGGCTTGATGTCATGTTATGTCATGTCATGTCATGCCATGTTATTTAATTTTATTTTATTTTATTTTATTTATTTCAGGCCTTGCACTGTACACCAAACACATTGCTGCTTCTGGTCATGGCATTATTGTACAATATTTAGGACATATATGTGGTCATGTCATAGCAGAAAAAAGAGAAGAGAAAGAACTTTATTTATACATTGATGTATAGGGACTGTACAGTAAGAGAGACTGAAAACTCAAAAGCATTGCTTTATGTTTGCTTTAGAGTTCTATAGGAGCCAAATAATGACATTTAAATGATCTATTCCATTAATGTTGTATCATCCTGTCAATCTGGAATGTATTTTAATCAAAATCCCCCTTGAAATGGTCTCCTTTGTTGTATTTTCTTGTTGGCTCATTTTATCAACATCTGTTATGTTTATACAATATGAATTAAAACTTTGGAATGCTGTTTGTACTCAGCTACTTTTGTTGAGAGTGTAGCGTCCTAGGATTGGCAGTGTTTATGTAAATCAGTGCGGCTGACACAGCCATCATAAACAATGAGAAAATATAACAAACACATTGTTCGTGGAGGAAATGTTTGTTTTTAGAGTTGGCTTCACCCTTACCAGATTGATGAAGAGTCGCTGATACCGAGGATCTGCACTGTAGTGATTCAGCAGCATGGCTGTCCGGGATGGATCAGGCAACTTCTCCACTGTTATCTGGAATAGCCAAGAATCTATTTCCCCTTCTCTGTGCAGTATACTGAACTGAATGCTTCCAAACCTTTTTCTTTCGATTGTAAGAGCTTGGCTATGCTTAAAGGGAGTTAGTCTATTGATTGAGCTATCCTAGAAAGCACCCTAAAGCAGACATGACTTATTAAGATTTCTTTTTCTAGTACAGCTTAAACCAGACCCCCAAATGACAGAAGGAGCTTCTTTCTTTTATGACTGCCTCTATATCAGAGCCTAATCCATCATAGATATGTTGACTTGGGGAGGTGATTTTTTCACAGCCTCTAACCAACAACATTATGCCAGAAAAACATTTTAAGCACAGACAAAGCCTCAATAACATGACAGGTTTTCAGCAGCCTCCTTAAATGCTGCTCAAAATTCTTCTACCGAAATCTATTTCTATGCCGCAGTTTCACATTATTTTACCAATTTTGCACTCGGGTCTTTTTTTTAAATGTAACCCTTCTTATGTTCTACATATTTGACTGATTGGTCAATGGTACAATGGTAACTCTGTGTATTCTATCTGCATACCTTCATTACTATGCATATTTGAGGGGCTATTTGCACCTGTTTTCACTGTTTGCAGGCTTGGGTTATACTGTTTAAGGTTGAAGTGTACAATTGTAAAGGGTAGGTGGATCACATTTTACATCCACTAGTCCTCCCTTCCAAATGTGTGAAGTTTGTAGGCACATAAATATAACACAAAGTTATACAATGGTCATTGACAGATCAACCCTTACTGTGATCTATGCAACTGCGAGGAACAGAGAGATTCTAGGGAGAAATCAATCCCTAGACAGCTTCACTCAAGTCCTCAAAATAAAAGTACTTCTGAGCACAAGACTATACTGGGTTTAGCTGAAAGCCTAAGACTCACTATAGCTGAAAGAGCTGAAAAAATCCTTGAACTTACCACTAACATAGAGCAGAGTTTAAAAGAGCTGGGGCTGCATAACAACCAAAAAAGGTCGGGAGGAGCAGCAGAAACTACCTGGCAGCACAGAGGAATGGTAGACACCCACACCATTATAGAGGAGCAGTGGAGACCCCTGGATGTGGTGGCCAGAGAAGCGCATTTCAGCATCCCACCATAGCAGCGTGTCTACATGAGTCACTTCCCACTAGGTG